GCCCCGGCTCTCGGCGCTGGGGCGGAACCGCGTACGGTTGGACGCGGTTCCCCGGCCCAGCTACACCCGCCCCCGCGCCCCGTTGGCTAGGCGACCAGTGGCCGCTAAGCCTGGGCGAAATCATGGCGACTTGTATGGAAACCATAGCCGGGGGGATGACCCCTACGGCGGTAACGCCCGAGTCGGAGGTACGCTGCCCCTCCCCGATCCCGCGGACCCCCAGCGCCCACCCCTGACCACCGCGCCCGCAGCCCGCGCTGGTTCCTGGTGAGGCGCCCTGGCTCCGGCCCAGCCGGTGAGCGGCCCGATACGGGCACCCGGCTGGAGCGGGCTCCGCGCGGCCCGGGGCTCCAGGCAGCTGTCCCGAGCCCCTCAAACCCCGCGGCTGTGGGCCTCCCCGGACCCTCTCCAGCGAGTCGCGCGTTTGGCCCGCGAGTTTATGGGAATTCCTGGTTTGAACCGTTGAAGGCCAAATTCTGCCCAACTCTGCCCTTTACCCTGAATTCTCAACACTTCTAAGACCTCTCGCATTTTAAAACGTTCAGTTCATTTTGGAAATTGCTACAAATTCTTTTCACAAGGATCGAGGTTGCTATTACTCAAAAGGTGTCATGGAGTAATTCTTCATCATAGTAAATTAATAATCGGAAGCCTGAGATTCATCTTTCCGCTAATTGTTTTGACATTCCGGTTAATAAATAGATGGTTAGTAAGAGGATAAAGGTTGTGGCATCCTCATTATCATCGTGTCTTTAGAAAAATTATATGATTTGAGGCCCCTCTGGTTTGCGTGCAAAACAAAGATTGTTATCTTGAAGCCTCTCCCAATGTCGGCTCTCAATAAAAAACGAGTTTTAGGTAATTTTAATTACTCATAAGTTTAGTATCCTGAGATTTTAATTAAGACTTATCTATTATGCCAGACATTACTAAACAAGAATGTCTTCATACATTTAGTCTATCATGTTCTCTGAAGTTTTTGTGTGTGTGTGTTTTTTTTAAGAGACTGAAGGTGAATAATGTTATAATTAGTATTGTTATGTTCAGCTGCCTTATTAGTCTAAATAACATTCTTTGTGCAGAAGGTAAGTATTAGCTGCAATTTTATAAATGAAGAAAACGAGGAGCCAATAATTCATTGCCTTGCTCAGAGATACACAAGTTCCCAGTCCAGATTCTTCCCAGACTATATGCAAGCTCGTTGGGCTTGCTAACTCCTGTGAGTCTTTGGAAATTAGCATACATTAAAATTGCATTTTCCTGTGATAAACTGGTTACTAAGCCAGTTTACTCCCTTGTGATCGCTAATGCAAGTAATACGATTTCAAAACTGTTACAGGAATTTTCTCAGTTAAATTGTGTTATTTAAATATATACAGAAACTTAACCTTACCCATGTAGATAACGTCCTCTTTAAGAAGACTTTGATAATGCCGGGTAATGAATCTGTCCTTTAAAAATAAAACCCCACAATTATTTTAAAAGATATAAAGAAGTGCCTTGCTACAGGAAAAAATGAATCACTTTTTATAATGGATGAGTCAGATGAAAGGACTAGTTATAGAGCTTAAGCATCTACCACTATCAATAGGTACATTTGCATTCCCCAAGACAAATAATTCAGGATATGCTCAATCTTTTAGTTAGCAACAAACTGAAGAAAGCTAGTTGCAACTGGACTCACCTAACTGTGCGCATTTACTAAATTTAACAGGTTAATGCCCTGCAGGGTGGAAACTCCATTTTCCATTAGATTGAAAGCAGAATACCAACACTTCACGGAGAGATACTTGATCCATAAAGCTGTATCATTAGGATGACAAGCCCTTCCTGTTGCCCATTTGTGTTGATGGAGGTCTTCTGGGGTTGGAAATGATGGTAGAACCCTCTCTGATCCCAAGGCCACACCTCTTCAATTAGATGCAGAAAGTTCTGAGGAGATCAGGTTTTTTTCCCAAGAGTAGATCCCCTGAGACCTAGGCCCTCATGGTGTCATTTCTAATAAATTCTACCTCCAAACTGATTTAGTGGACGATCTAGTCCTCTGAGCCAAACAGTAGTGAATTATTTATTTCCTTGCTAAGTTTACCGGAAATTATAAGCTTCCAACATCTGATGTTTCCCATTTGTTATTGTAAACAGTATAACCAATTGTCAATAAAAACAACCATTTCTCCCTGTCACATAGTAGACACTCAATAAAAAAGCATCATTAAATTCCTAGGTGGTTTGATGGATGCCAGAAAAGGAAATTATCACAGACTAAAATCCACTTATGAAATATGGGGAACAAGCAGATATGAGACATAGGTCCAGGAATATATGTTTTCTGTGATATTGCATAAGCTATTCTTGCCAACTGAATTCAGCATTCCACATTCTCTGGTTATGTTGGAGTAAATCCCTCACTCTAAAAGGTAATACTAAATGAACAGGAACAGAGAAAAATGACAAAAAACAGAAAATAAATATTCATTCACTATGTATAGATTGAAAGTGAAAGGAGTTTATAAATGTTAATAAATAAGTTTATGAATGAGTTTATAAATGAATACTTAGAATTACTTATCATCAATTGACTTTCTTAATATCTTCAAAATTACTATTTGGGGAATCTAATCATTTAAATAATATACTTAAAAGGACTGAACTTCAGAGGCTTAAAAGAAAATGTAAATGATTATTTCCCAGTGGCGTCTTCTGAATAATGTCGCTTAATGTTACCACATCTCAGAATAGATGGCATGCACTCAAAGCCCCGGGCACTTATTTAATCTTGAGTGAAAAGATGATGTCACTTGTCTGAGAGATCCTCAACATACCCAGGAAACCATAGACAATTCTCTGAATATTACATTGTCCCTATAGACCTTAAAAAATGACCCCACCTATCTTTAGTAGTTGGGAGAGAGATGGTTGGGGCTCAACTTGAGCAACAAGAGGATCAGTTTCCTACCTTTCAGTGCCATTCAAGGTATTTGCCAAAGCCATTCACATCACTTAAAATATTGTTTAGTAAACAGCACTATTTTTTTAAAGATTTATTTATTTATGCATACAGAACTGGGGTACAAGCCAGAGGTGCAGGGGTGGTGAGAGGATTCACCTGAGACAGAGTGGGGAGCAGAACAGGTCGACTGACAAAATACACTCTGAGGGGAGCAGCAGATCAGTCAGGAGAGGTCTACCGGGCCATGTGGGTCACCTCCAGGGCTGGAGATCGAACTCATGCTGAAGTGACTTTAGTTTCTTAGTGCTGTGCTTTAACCCGCTGTGCTGCCAGGGAGGGCCTAAACAGCACTAATTTACTTCAGAATGCTTATATACATTGGTGTGTGTGTATGTGTGTGTGTGTGTCTGTGTGTGTCTGAGCTTCTAGGAACTCTGGCTGTGGTGGTAAAAACATATACTAACCCGCACTTGGATTTGTCTTTTCTTTTTACTATTGAACTTTGTCTTTCCTGTCTGTTGAAAAAGTCCTGATTCTTCTCCCTGCTGCTACTTCTCCTTCAGGTCACATAATTAATGTTCAACCTTTTCCTAATATTTAAATTTTTATTTTATTAAAGTCATGTCTTTAACATTTCTAAAGCTAATTTTTGGTAGGTGTATTTTTGTATATTTGACATGAAGATCTAATTTTGTTTTCTCCTAAACATGAGCAGTAATTATGTCAGCTTCATTTACTAAATGATCCATCCTGTTCCCACGGAGAATGGATTTCTGCTGTATACTGCATATACATGAATCAGTGCAAGAATGGACAAAATGCCCAATGGAAGGGAACGGATTAGAGAATAAAGCATTTTATACACACACATATACATACACACACATATACATACATATATATATATATACACACACACATATAGTACATATATACATATATGGTTTTGGTTCTATGTAAATATTAACTTTCAGATTCTTCTTTCCATTCTTGGATGAAGGCCATACAATTTTATATTTTGCTTTGATAGCAAATTTAAGATTGTATCTATTCTTCTATAATAGCTTAAAGTTTTATTTTTTAAGTTCTAGAAGACTACAAAGAGATTTGAAATTATAATGGCATTACAGTTATAATGCGGGATTCAATTTTTTTAATATTTCCAATTAATTTATCAAGTCTTGTTATTAAACTTTGAATAAAGCTTATAATTTCTTTTGGTCCTGAATCCTTCTAAATATATTTATATCCAAGTAGAACTTAATCAAATTTTTGTCATTCTCATCTCTAATTCATCTGTAATAGAGAGAAAAGCAATTGGCCTGGATATATTTATGTTATATGTAGCCATCTTATCAAATTCCTTATTAGCTCAAATACTAGTGCAATATCAGATTTCTTCGGTATGCCAGCATATAATTTTCAAATAAAGACTTTTTTATTTCTTAATTTTTACTATTTATATTACATATTTAGTTTTCTTCTCTGTTGGTTAGAAATTAGAAATTGGATAGTGTACTGAACTATAATACTGGCACGGGTTAGAATACTTTTTTAGTTATTAATTTTCCTAAGCATGACTTCAGTATTTTACCATCCAATTCGATGTGTTAGCAACTTATCTTTCTTATGTTTAGCCATTCCTTTGATATTTGTATTTAACTGAACATTTTGTCATGAGTGCTAGGAAATGCCTTTTTATTATTTCTTATATAATCATATCATTTCTGTCACTTAATTTAACATCAAAAGTGTGTGAGAACTGTTAATGATGATCCTTCCTTGCATTTCTGAAATTAGCTTTACTTGATCATAATGATGGTTTAGTGTTCTTCTAATATTTCATTGGATTTAATTTTCTCAGATAGATATATATAATTAGGATTTTTGCTTCTGAGTCTATTTAATAATTTTCATTTCCTTTTTGTGCTCCTTCAGGTTTTTGTGTATAGACAATGCTAACTTTAAAAAAAAATGAATTACCTGCAATTTGTAGTTATTAGGCTAACAGAACTTAGGTGTTCTTAACTGATAGGGAGAACTTTAAGTATAAAAGCATTTAGGTACGGTAACTTTTTAAAAAGCAGACTTCCAGTGTAGTTCAAGTTTAATCAGCTCCACCTAACCCCTGGTCATTTTTTATAACTTAACTTTTCCTAGGAATTCTCTCAGTGTCTTGGAATTTTAAAGTATATGTTCTATTTAATGAAGCATACATTTATTTGTCTTTTATTCTTTAGGTGTATATACCTAATACTTCACTACTATTCATTATTTTAAATACTAGTCCTTGCTTTCACTAGTCCTTCTTTCATCTATCAATATATATATTTTTAATTTTATAATTTTGCTTTTCTTAAATTGGTTTCTTAGCATGATCAGGATTAGAGTGAGGGAAGTGAGGTATACCCCCTGAGGTACAAAGTTAAAGGGGTGCCAGAAAATTCAGTCAAGAGAAAATACATTTTAATGCAATATATTAAAAAATAAAAATTAATGCCAAGGATTCCATAATAAATCAAAATTTTAAATAAAGATAGGATCAGTATTTTTACCTTTTGCCTCTAGCATTATATGGCTCACTCTAGCATTGCTTCAAATTTCCTTTATTTTCAGGTTTGCACTCCATAACTGTGAAACATCTCCTTAGCAGTCTTTGGTGAAATACATTCTCTTTCTTTCAGTGAACATTTTATTAAGATACAGTTGAAGATACTATTAATGATAGGTACAAAATGTCTTTGGACTCTTATATTGTAGAAGATTCCACCACGTTTTGGTGACAGTAGAGAAAAAAACCTCAGAAATGAGTATCTGACAAATAATATCAGGCTTACAATTTTATTGTTCCTGGAATAACTGCTGAAATCCACCAGGTGGTGGAGTAAAATGAGTTACAGTGCAGATTAGCTTACATATTTTCCTAGTTGGAGATGTAATTTTATAGAGAAAGCCACAATTACATGTTCACATTTCTATTAGTCTATTCACAAATTTTCTATTATAGCTTAAATTTTTACAAATCAGAATGTATGTACTGAAAGAGGAAAGATTTTTAACCATCTTATACCCTTTCTATGCAAAGCAGTATATAAACAAAGAAAGCTCTAGTTCAAATAGGCCCAGGAATTCAATTGAAAACAAAGGAAAGCAAACTCACAGTCACCCCCTCCCGCACGATGATTATCTTTACCCATAAGTTATAATAAGAAGTTAGGAATTATTAATAGATTAGCTGGAATTAGTACTGTTAAAAATTTAAGATTAATTTATTTTTTTCATTCCATTCTTGTGTGACCTATTTTTTTCCTATCCAGAAATTTTTCAAATAAAATGCTTTGATTATCTGTATAGTTTACCTTTCATGTAAGTCTTTGTTCATTATCAATAATGATAGTATCTTATATGGATTAAACATATCAAGCTGATTTTTTTGCATAAATCCAAATTTAGGTTAAAATGATCTGCTGTAAGTCACAAAATTAACAGTACTGAAACGATCATGAAATCTCCAAATTCAAGTCCAATTTTCACATACTTCATCATCTAATAATATCCTATAGTAGAGATGAATTCAGACAGTCAATTAACAACCTATGCTGACATAACTAGAATCTGTTGAATTCTAGGAAGATATAAAAGATTAGCGACTGCCCCTGAGGAATTTACAATCTGTGGGTTTGACAGTATGGGAATAATTATACTTTTCTGCTAATACTTTTGAAAAATTATATAACCCACAAATATTTAAACAAATATGTGCCTTATGAACTAAAAAAATGGTTCTAAATAAAAACTAAATTTATTTAATTCAATTTGTAAGTATCTGGGTGCCTACTAAGTGCAAGTTAGGTTATTATATTTTTACTTTTAAAAACATAATTTAGGAATAAGATATGATAGTTTATTAGATATCTTTTGTCATCTAAGGTTTTCTAACTAACCTAAACTAGGTAATTTATTTCTGAAACTCAGAATTGCCATTCTTTCATCACTCTTTAGTACCTCATATATAATACCCAGATTCTTAAAGAGACTGATTGACTAGCTATTTTACTTTTCAGAAGAGGGGTACTATTACTAAAAAATTATTAACTAGGAGATATTTTTAAATGTTTGTCTTAATAGCAACTGTACCATAGTAAGAACAGATTTTGATGTCACAGAAATCAGTATTCAAGACATGTGACTAAAATGAAATAATTCATTTGGTGGTGAGTACCTTAGATATGAAGAGGTGAGACCTTATACCTATAAATTCTACAGAGTGTTGTTAAACCAGTGTTACCTCAATAAAAAATATGACAACTGATAAACAAAAATATAAAGTTATTATAAAGAGTCCCCATGTATTCTTCTCACAGTTTTTCCCTGTGGTTACCTCTTGCCAGCCAAAATAAAACCTAAAAACCAGGAAATTTGACATTGGTATGACATGTCTGTATAGTTCTATACCACTTCATCATGTGTAGATTTGTTCAGCTACCATAATCAGGGTGCAAAATTATCCCCTCTTCACCAAGACCTCCACTGAACTACTTTCCACCTTCTGTCCAGTCATTCCTAATCCCAGGGAAACCCTAATTTAATCTCCGTATCTATAGTTCTAACATGTTAAAATCATTATATAAAGGGAAACATAGATCACATGATCTTTTGAGAATAACTTTTTCCAACTTAGTCTATTGGCCTTGAGACATACCCAAGTTGTATGTGCTATACTTTGCTCTGTTTATTACTGAATATCATTCTGTGTTATGGCTGTACCACCATTTGTTTAAAATGTTGGTTGTTTAAATAGTTTCACTTCTAAAAATAAAGCGATGCACAACAACAAAAATTCTCATTCCAATTTTTTTTTCTTTAGAAAGATGATTCCCAGGAGCATGAAAAGATTCTGTCTCCAGATTTTCTTTCAGTTGCTCAAATTACTGAAATGCTAACAGAGGACATTGATGGGATTCAACAGTAAGCACTTCAAAATATTATAACCAAATATAGAAAAATTCTATAAATGACCATGATATGTTATTTTAAGTTTTTTGAAAACACTTTTATTTGTTTTCATACTAGATGGATAGATAGATAGCTAGCTCTTCAGATCTAGAGCACAAAAATTCTCCAACAAATTGATATTTTTTTGTGACCCTCTATGGTTTTCTCTATAGGAAAAATATATTGCAAATCAAATGTTAATATTAACTGAAAATAGAGATTTATTGTTCAAAGCAACCTTTAGCCTGTAGTCTTCTAGTCCTTTTCTTTTTCATTTAAAGATTTATTTATTTATGCATACAGAACTGGGGTACAGGCCAGACGTTCAGGGGCAGTGAGAAGATTCACTTGAGACAGAGTGGGGAGCAGAATAGGCCAGCTGACAGAGTACACTGCTGAGGGGAGCAGCGGGCAGGTCAGGAGAGGTCTGGCGCGCCCGCCATGTGTATCACCTCTGGGGTGGGGATCAAACTCATGCTAAAGCAGCTTTAGCTTCTTAATGATGTGCTTTAACCTGCTGCACCACCAGGGAGACCCCTCTTTTTCATTCTTAAAGTTGTCAATATGCACAAGAACCTAAAGAATATTCTGGCTTATAAGGGTTAACTTGTGGTTTCTGTAAAATTACTATTTAATACATTTTATTATTTTGGAAATCCTGAATATAAACCACCTGTGATTTTTATTGGATATGAAGTTATACTAGTTATTCTGACTTCATACATTTGGCATTAAAATGTAAATATAACTAATTTTATAGACAAGAGTTCTAATATATGTCTATCTTCTTCCTAATGTCATTGATTTGTGCTATAGATCATCTACTGAGGACTGTAGCCACATATATCTAAAGACAGAAAGGTGTCCTAAAAGTGTTTCTAGTAATCATTCACTTAAAAAAATTATCTTGCTCTAATAGTAGAAGCCTGATTGGGCATAATGTTTGAAGAATGGGGATGATGTGATATTCTGACCTGTAAAGTCCCAGTGTAAGGTTTCTGCAAGCAAACCCTTTGGATATAAGCAAGATTTTGTGGACTGTAATGGACATATAGGAAATGACTCTGTCAGTGGTTATCATTTACAAATTTTACAAATATTATGGAATAGAGGTTATTTACTACTGAGAAGGAAATGTGACAGATGTCCAGGCTGGAAAATAATCTGAGAGAGGGACGAATTTTAAGAGCAAGTAACTGCCACTCACAGGCCTTTTCCCAAAATGCTTTTTACTTCCAGCACCTGTAAAGCCTGTTGGAAATCCTGGTGAACTGTAATCTAGATGTATACATCTGACCATATCTTTTTAAGTACTTGTCACTCAGTTAAAAATTTCACAGATTAAACAAATATTTCATGGTTATTTTATCATATTTATAGAAATGAGTGCTCATTAGTAATTCCTATTTTTAGTGTCAGAATTAATTAGTAAAATGCATTCATGTATTAATACCAACTCATTATGTTTTTCTGTAAAATATACTTTTGATTTCTAGGTACCTCCCCCCCAAATCATTGATCATTAAAATGCAATAGATAGGCATTTAATACTAGGTAAATTAATAAAAGACAATGACATATATTTACTAGAGCTTATTTATTTGTATTAAATACTTTTTTTAATTTTACTTAAGTAAAAGATGTTTTATGAAACACAATTGACACTGTGTTGCAGACAAATGCTTTTTAGCCTGTATCGCACCATATCTTAAGTTGCACTATGTATAATTTCTTACATGATTGTTTATTTTTCCGATTATTGCCTCTGTTGTTAAATATCAAGATTCTGAAAATATTTTTAATCTTTAAGAGGTGACACCACTAAAGTAAATGACACAGGATGAGAAAGAGGAATAGTCAGATTCCAACAGCAAACTGACCTTTTACACTATTTCATTAATGAAAATTCACATATCTCAGGTTTTAGGACCTCAGTTTCAGATCAATGACACCAGTGTTATGTCAGGAGCCATTTTTTTTTTTTTGCAAAGTAACTTTATTTGTATGATTTTCATAGCATAATCTTAAATATCTGTACTCAGTCACTTTCAATTTAAAATAGTATTATTATAATAGGGATTATATACTTTTCTAAGTGACAAAAATATAATTTAAGTATCTTGTCACCAACTGACAGAAGTATGCTAAAATCATACAGTCTGAAATTTATAAACCTATTTAAAGTATAGGAAGTCCACACATCTCCCTAACTTTTAAAATTAAAAGTTGTGCTCTTTGAAGGCAGTCAATGAAGTGGAATGTTAAAATATCATTACAGCATCTTTTTGGTGTACATTTCTAAGAAAATGAAATGTTTAACTATATCTTAAGGGCCTCTTAACTACTACCAATCATTTACTTTAATGTAACCCTGATTTTATTTAGAGATCCACCCAAATCTTTTCATAAAATGAAATAGAAACTAAATTGAAAGTAACTACTTAACTCTAGAAATAACCTTCCTATACCTGGGCCTCCATGAGCATTTCACTTCTTGCCTTCTGGCTTATTTCTGCATGTTATCATACTCAAAAATAAAATGTACTTGAGGCGTTTGCAAGCCTATGTAATACTTTCACTGTCTTTTTTTTGTGTGTGTGTGAGACAACATAGCTAGTCACATCACCCACCATTGTAGCAAAACTCCTAAGCCACTGTACAGTACCTTTTTCTTTCCCTACATTCTGTCTCACTACAGCTGTTGTCATCTATCCTCCCTCCCATGCATTATCTTCCCTTACCCCCTGAGAGAAAGTTTGCAAATTTGCCAGTAAAATGCATAGATACTGTGCATTCAAGTGGCAAGCGTTTTCTTGCTCCAAATGTGTGAAATGACTGAAGAGTATAAATCAAAGTTGAGATTCAGTTGCTACAAGGAAATAGGATCTTGGTATAGGAGGAAAGCAAACATCCAGGGACCTCAAAGAATTTTCACCAAAATATTCTTAGACAAGTGGTTGCCTATATTCTTATACTAGTAAACACTGGATGGGAGGATGAAAATGAAAAACAAAGAACACATGGAGTTTTTGAGGCCAAATATTTATTTTTTAAAAAAATGCATTATATAGATGGCAGGTAAGAATATGCTTAGAAGACTAAGTGCAGAAAAAAAAAATTAGGTAAGAAACTGATTATTAGGGCATTGATTCTGTAAAAGAATAGACTGAAGGAAATAAATGATGGAATATGTAAATAAAAAGCTTAGAATTAAGGCAAGAAAGTAAGGTAAAGAATAAAACCAATCTAGAACTATCTTGCTGAAAAGAAAGTCGGTAAAGTATATAGAAGACAAATTTAAGAAAATTTATGCAAAATGCAAATTAAAGCAAATAAAGGATGTTAAAATATGCATCCAAAACAGTAAATCAAAAAGAATAATTTGAACTTAATAAAATGGAAGATTTGATTTTAATAGTTCATAGAATGGAATTTCCTGCGTGCATATGTCTGGGGTGAAAGCATGTCACCTGGATAAGAAAATAATCACACAGGCCTCAGTTGAGGCCTCAGATATTTCCTTAGCAACATTCAGCAGCAAAAATCATTGGAATGACAAGTAACCTAAATTTGGAGAGTCAATAGACTGTGCTTCCAGAATAAGATACTAATGAGGTTATTTTAGCTAATCCACCTGGATTTTACTTTAATGTATTGGATAACATAGTATTTTATTTTCTATTAAGTAGCCAATTCTCCCAGCACCAGTTTTGAAGAGTTCAAGCTTTCCTCATTAGTTTGAAATGCTTCCTGTTAGTTACCAAGTTCCTAAATATTTTGTGGGCTTTCTGCCTCTCTCATTAGCCAATATATTGATTCCATTGCAGTACCACAAAGCCTTTCACTGTAGTGGAAGTTTCCTTACTGACTTTCACTTAAGACTAAATGACACTGTACATTAAGTATTAAAAACTAAATGTTGCCCATTCAATTTAAATGAATATGCTTGATTAGGAAAGTAACTTCCCATCCCAGCATATACCTCTTTATTCATAACCACATCAGTTGAGCTGTGTACTTAACAGAATGTACCAGGATACTCTTACCTGCCTTAACATAAACTGACCCTAAATATAAATACTCTTCATATGCAAATGTAAGATATCACATAACAGGAAATTCAGTAATAGGTTTATTCCAGGGTTGATTGATTTAAGGTCTCAGTAGTATCAATAAAAAATTAAGTTTAATCTTAGGACTGCTTTTCCTTATGGTTTTAAGATGGTTACCAGTAGCAATAAACTTACTTACTTCCTCTTTTCTATTTTGTTTCACATAAGAAAATGAAAACAACTCTTTGTTATGAATTAGAACAATTTAGGAATGTTTCCATCATTGATTGAAAGTTATATATTAAAAAAGAATCTGTGATACAATAAACCATATGCAATTAAAAAAAAGTTATATATTAAGTTTATTTGGCATTTTGGTGAGGGGAAGTAAGTCTACCATTTGGACTTAGAATGACCAAAACTTACTTTTGTGGATGAGGATGAGGTCTGCCCTGATACCACAAATGGTGTACTAGGTTAGTCAGTTCAACACAATATAAGCTTTATTATTGCCAAATTTGTTTAATCCTGTAGTATTTACTACATATCATATCAGTATTATAAATAAAGACTTAACTTATTTTTTGAAAATGGGACAATAAAGTTCACACACACCACACACATTCCCTCAGTCAGAAATCACATAGATGCAACAAGAAAACACCAAATCTATCTTTGTTACAGAAAATATATCAAAAGGTCAAATCACAAAATATGAGGCTGGCAGCCAGAGATATTACAGAACAAGTAGAAGTACAAGAGAAAATAGGAGAATATACATTTTTTAGGTCTCAGAATGAGCTAAGAAATAATCTTATCCTCCCAAGTGAGGAAGATTTTTTTTCTTTTTCTGTTTTTTTAAGATTTATTTATTTATGCATACAGAATTGGGATACAGGCCAGAGATGCAGAAGCAGTGAGGGGATTTACTAGAGACAGTAGGGAACAGAACAGGCAGATAGAGGAAGCACACTGCTGAGGGGAGCAGCAGGCGGGTCAGGAGAGGTCTGCTGCGCCATGTGGATCACCGCCTGGGTCAGGGATCGAACCTGCACTGAAGCAGCTGTGGCCAGCTTGCAATGCTGCACTTTAACGCACTGTGCCACCAGGGAGGGCTGGAAGAAATTTTTAAATCTGCTTTTCACAAATGCATGTTTGAAATTACAGGATCAGGATGCGCAGGCTTGTAACAGGTGCTTCTCATAAGAAACAGATTGCTTAAGAGAGGGTAAAACGAGCCAGTCAGACTTTTTTTTTTTCTTTTGCCCCACTAATTCAAGAATGAAGGCTAGGATGATTGACACAAAATTATTTCAAACAACAAATACCTTATAACATGGGCAGATAAGGGGTTTCCTTGATGGCACAGGGTTCAAATTCTCAGCATTATCAGCTATCTCCAGCCACTATGGCATGAATTTGACACCCCCCAACCTGCCTCCCACACATACACTGGCCAGGGAGCTGAACCACATGGTGCAACAGACCTTTCCTATCTTTCCTGTCTTTCCTGCTGCTTCCCTCAGCAGTGCATTTCAGTCTGTCTGTCTGTTCTGCTCCCTACTCTGTATCTGGTGAATCCTCTCACATCCTGTACCTCTGGCTTGGCATTCAGTTCTTGTATGTGTAAAGAAATAAATAATCATCTTTTAAAAAATTTGGTCAGGTAGGTAATAAATAATAAATATGCATACAAAGATATTATAGGAAGAAATCTAATAGAAGAAGAATAGAAAACAGGCATGGCAGATAAAGGAAAGAGACCAGGAAAATAAAATCATAAGTATACAAAAGAATATGGTCAAATATTTTAACATAAATTTGTAACAGACTATCAAGAAATCACAATGAGAACATAAAATAGAGATATAAAATTCAGAGAAAACATATCTGGGAAATAAAAGATGCTCAAAAAAGAGGTAAAATATATAAGCAACCCAAACTCAAGAGAGAATTAACTACCAGAAACAGGAGTGGCACACAGGAGACAGTCATGAGAAAAGAAATCAATTTGAAAATATTTTGGAGGTTATTGAGAAAATAATGAAGTATACCTAATTGGAATTCTCTAGAAAACAGAAAACATAAAATATTTAGCAATCTAGTTGCAGGACATTTTTTAAAAAGTAAACTTGATTATATAATTGGAAAAAGGCATTGAATTTCAGAGGGAAAAATGCTAATAAATGTATTAAACATAAAAGACAGAAAAAGGAAAAGCAGAAGGGGGTGGGGAAGCAAGAAAATTAGAAAAACAAAATGGAAGGGGAAGATGATGACTGAAAAAAGGAGAGTCTCTCTAGTCATTTTGGATTTTGACATAATTGTGTATTTTTAAATTATGGGCATTGTGGAATTTTAATTCAAGAAAAATAGCTATGTTTTCAAAATTTTAAAAAGGAACAATTCAGTATTTATGGCTGTTTCTTTTTGTTTCAGAAAATTGGAAAAGTTTTTGAATTTCAGACATCTTCAGACCTGTTTAAAGCAAGCCATTCTGCTAGATTATTATGTGTCTGGATTTTGGTGGGCAAAAGAAATGGAATTTTCAATACCTCAATATTCAAAGTTTATGACTTTACTAGATATGTTACTTCATAATCTGAAAAGTAAGTACATTATTTTTTTTCCCTTTTTTAAGGAAGATAAACTTGGTCTCCTGTCTAAATTAATGTCCTTACGCACAAGTTTCTAATTTTTTTACAGTTTTTTAATGAAAATTACATCCTTTTGTTGCATAGAGCACAGATGAGCACCATATCTTTATTGAGTTGTAAAATTTCAAATAATACTTATCAAGATTAATGTTCTCTGAATAATTAATTTGCCAAAAGTATGTTAACTTCTACATAAAGCCCAGCCCCCCTAAAGGTTAAGTAGTTAAGATTCATGAAGGTTTTTTTTGTGTTGTTTTTTTTTTTATTGTTTGTGTTTTTTCATCTCATCTTACCTGTAAACATTACAGGGATATTTCAGAGTTATTGATAAGAGAAGGTGTGCTGATTAATAACAAAAATCCACTAGAGACAATATTCACTTAGACTTTTATTTTGTGACTTCTTTTCTTTTATAACTTTGAAATGCATCACTATAGGAAATGGGAAAACTTAAAGCGGTTTAAATGTGGCTACTTTGTGTTTTTTGTTTAAAAATTTTATTTAGTTATGCATACAGAATTGTACAGGTCAGAAGTATGAGGGTGAGAGGCAGAGTGAGAGTGCTACAGAGAGATGTACTGGAACACACCTCTGAGGGGAGCAGTGGGCAGGTCAGTAGAGGTCTGCTATGTCATGTGGGTCAGCTCCCTGGCCAGGCTTTAACTCAAGCTGCAGTGGCTGCCATAGCTTCATAGCTGTGCTTTAACCCATTGTGCCACCAGGAAGGGCCCTGGTCACTTCGTTTTGAGAATAACTGTAATTGTTTCTTGAAAGGAGAAGAAAAGTCTATTATTAATTTATTATCAGTTCTGTGCGCTAGACACTATGATCAGCTCTTATCATTAGCATACATTATTAAGCCTCAGAGCAATTCCTACAAGGGAGAAAAACAGTCTGGAGCAAAGGATGTATAGTTGGGAATTGGCACAACTAGCACATGAATTTCAGACTTCATAACCGAAGGACCATGAGCACAGTCAGAATGTCTGTAGCTGGCGTCAACTGAGAGATGTCTGCTGCCTGTCTTTTCCTCTTTATTTTCTTGTTTCTTTTGCTGTTTGATTTTGTTTGTTTGTTTGTTTGACTTTAATTTCTTTTCTCTTTAATTGGGTAGTTAAAAGAACAGGCTGCCCCTAAAGTATTGCCATCCTCATCCTAGCAAAATTTGCAGATGCCTTGTGATCATACAAATGGTATTCTGGCCTATGTACCGATTTGAGACTACATTAATGCAGGGGAAGCTGTCAGTCAGTTAGCGAAATTACTAAAGCAGCCGCTCATGTCTTATGTACCTTTCCCGCTCCTAGTTACCCTTTAGAGGGACAGAATTGGTAGTTCTTACAAGAAAGTAAATCATTCTTTTCCTTCTCTACCAGTAGAGTGTTTTGCCTAGCTTATCCTTGTTTTACTTAGGTATGCAGTATTATGTTAAGGAGAAATTACTATACTGATAGGAGAAAAGATAATTATGCATGATGAAGGAAAAAGTATCTATTTATTGGTTGGTTTCAACTTAGGCTTCCATCTTTTTATCTGCTCTTGGCATTATAGGTTCAAATCTCAGCAAATATATACTTTCACTCCCTGCATCCAATTAGGTACATTTTTTTATTACTAGGAAGTCTTAATAAGTAAAATTATTTTAATTTCAGTGATTGATAATTTCAGTTGTTGAACTACAAACTTTCAAAAAAGAGTTCTCTTCGGGACTCCCCTTGGTATTGGACCCAGGTCATGATTCGTGAACTTCAGTAGAAACCCATTGATGGTGTTACAGCCTGATTATTTCTCAGCCTTCAGATCCTAGTGAAATTAAACAAGAAACAAAATCTGAAGTATGTCAGTAAAACCTCCAAACTATTAAAAAATCAAATAATAATTCTAAATAGCTTGTGGCCAAAAAGAAAGTCTCAATAGTTTTTAGGAAAGGGAATGAAAATCAACCACCTGAAAGTTTATGTGGTACAACTGAGTCAGGGATAAGGCTGAAGCTTATATAATTAAATGTTTAGAAAATAAAGTCGAAAATTGATCCTCTAAGCTTCTACTTCATGAACCAATTAAAAAAAAACTACAAATTCATCAGAAAAGAAAAATAATAATAAGCCAATAGAAAAAAATGAAATGAAAAACTGCATCTTTAGAAAGATCAATAAAATTGATAGACATGAAATAAAGCTGACAAAGGAAAAAAATACAGCTTATTTTATTATCTGTTATAAAACTGGGAGTATCATAACAGATCCAGCAAATAATAACAGGTTATTAAGATAATATTATTTATGACAAAAAATTCAAAAGCAAAGGAAATACTGATAAGTTCTTCAAAATCCATAGCTAACAAAAATTCTAGATGAAATAGATAATCAGATAATGCTTTAAATATTTAAGAAATTGATTTTTCCCCTAAATCTCTGGGAAAAAAGTTTGTGGACCCAAATGTTTTCACTGGAAAAGTCTGTCAAATCTTTAGTGAAGGGAAAGCAACAATTATATATAATCTCTTCCAGAAATAGTAGAGGGAAGAGCACTTATAACTCATTTTTCTGAGGCTAGCGTTATCTTCATGCTAAAACCCAACAAAGACTGTGAAGGGAAAGGGGGTGGTAGAAAGAAGGAAAAAGATAGAAGTAAAGAAGGATGAAGAAGGAAAACAGAAGAGGAAAAAACTACAGAACAATATCCCTCATGAGCAAAGACAAAAATTCTCAATAAAATATTATCAATATTATAGTGATATCTATAGCACTATATAAAAATAATGCACAAAAGACCAGTTGGAATTTACTCCAGGAATTGGATGCTATTCACTTTTTGAAAATCCTACTACTGTGAGTAGTTTGAAGATATCCCACATGATCACATAGATAGATACAGAAAAGGCATTTGACAAAATACAACATCTATTATTATTTTAACAGAGTCAGAAAACTGAAAAATTTATATTCCTCAACCTAATGAAAGGTGTCTACAGTAGCCTATAGCTGTCTTCATAATTAGTAGTAAGAGAACAAGTGCTTCCCCCATAAGATCAGAGCCAAGAAAAAAGCTGACTCTCACCACTCCAAGCAGGACTATAAGTAAGAGATCTATGCAGCATGGTACGAAAAAGGAAACACATGCAGACTGGAAAAGGAGAAATAAAAAAGTCCCTATTCTCACTTAAAAATGTGGTGCAATGGTTTAAAGCACAGTACTATGAGGCTTTCAGCAGCCACTGTAGGAGGGTTTTGATCCCCGGCCAGGGAAGTGACCCCACATGGTACAGCACACCTCTCCCAACAGCTGCTCCCCTCAGCAACATATTTCAGCCATCCTGCCTGTTTTGCTCCCCACTCTGTCTCTGGTGAATCCTCTCATGCACTGCACCTCTGGCCTGTACTCCAGTTCTTGTATGCATAGATAAATACATCTTTAAAAAAATTTGCCCATATAAAAATATCACACAGGATCAAGATATCCTAGAACTATGAAATTTAGCAAGGTTGCAAGAATAAGCTCAAAACACAAAAGTTAGTGTCCCCTGCATGCTGACAGTATGCATTGGAGAACAACATTTTAACAAGTAATGTAGTTTACAATACTTCAAAAAATAAAAAAAAAGTTCTAAGCATAAGTCTAACAAAAATATATGTTATTTATATGATGAAAGCTACAACATGTTATAAAGATGAAAAAGAAGCCTAAATAGGTAGAATGCTATACTGTGTTCTAGAGCTGGAATTCTCCTCCTGATAAAGATGTCAGTTCTTCCCAAACTGATATGTAAATTTAATGTGATACTGCTTCCAATCCCATCCAGGATTTTTCTAGCTATACCCAAAATGAATTTAAAATTTACACAGAAAGCCTAAGGAGCTCGAATAGCTAACACACTAAAACTATGCTGGAAAATAAAAAGAAAACTGATTAAGTCATTCCACTCAATTTTAAGGTTTATAAAGTTATGGTAACATATTGATGTAAATTGACAAATGGATAAACACGTGGATCAATAAACAGAAGAGGAACATTGGAAAGACTCAGGCAAAAATGATCATTTGATTTTTTACAAAAGTGCAAGCCAGTTCAGTGGAGCAGGATTGACCTTTCCACGACTATTTTTGGAACACTGTTTCATATATTTTGGGGGAAAAAATTAACTTCCACCTAAACCTTTCATAGGAAATAATTAACTCATGTTTCATCATAGATAGGAATTTATAATGTAAAAATGTACATCTTTTGGAAGAAATCATAGGAGAAAATATGTGATTATTCAAGAAGTTGTTAGAAATGACCCCCAAAACATGACTCATAAAAGTTGATAAAATGGACTTCAACACATTTTAAAACATTAAGAATAGAAGAGCAAGTTATACTCAGGTAAAAGTATTTGCAAGTCATTTATGTGATACAAGACTTGCATCCATATTATATAAAAAAACAGTAAAAACTAAGAATGAGAAAATAATTCTCTTAAAAATGGGTAAATCTACTATCTAGTCATGAGGAAAGCAAAAGATCAACCCAAAGTGAAGACATTTTACAATAGAACGTGCAGTGTTCCTCAAACTGAAAAGCTCACTAAATATCAAAAAAAAAGTCTTAAGAGTCAGAGGACCCTCAGGAGACATGACTTCTAAGTGGCATCCTGTGTAAGATCAGAAACAGGAGAAAGGAACAGAAAAAAAAAAATGAAACTAAGTAAAAAATTAAACTACAATAAAGTGTGATTGAACTTTAATGTATAACTTGATTTACTTGTTATGATAAGTGTATGATAATGATGCAAGATATTTACACTAAAGAAAGCTGTGAGGTGGAGTGAAGAAAGTATACAGTAATTCATTGTACTCTTTTTAAGTTTCCTATAAATATAAATTGATTCTAACATTAAGTTTATTCTTTTTTTGAAACATTAGGCCAATAATTTACATATACTTCACAAAAGAAGATAGAAGGATAGCAAG